TGCCAATTGCAAGTCCACGTTGTTACCTGTGCTTCTGACTAACCGGCTTTAGATCAGAAGTTCCAATGACTTCCTCTTTGGTTTTGATTAATTTGCTACAGCATCTCACAGAATTCAGAGAAACATTTTCCTTACTAGATCACCAGTTTATTATAAAATGATAAAACTCAGGAATAGCCAGTTGGAGGAGAAGCATAGGGCAAGGTATGGAAAAAGGACTTGGGGAGCTTTCATGCCCTGAGGGCACCATTCTCCCCAAATCTCCACATGTTCACCAACCCAGAAGTTCTCCATACCTTGTCTTTTTGGTTTTCTTATGGAGACTTCATTATACAGGCATGATTGATTAAATTATGCCTACATAATTAAATCATTGGTGATTGATTCAACCTCCAGCCCCTCTCCCCTCCCCAGGGGTTGGTGTGGGACTGAAAGTTCCAACCCTCTAATCATGGTTGGCGATAATGGCAACCTGCCCCTATGCTATGTTACCTAGGGGCTTTACCAAAAGTCACTTCATTAACAACAAAAGACACCTTTATGGCTCTCATCACAAGAAATTCTGAGGTCTAGGAGCTCCGTGCCAGAAAGGAGACAAAGACCAATATATATTTCTTATTATAAATCACAAGATCACACCAGGTTTCAGCAACTTGAAACCAGGTGTAGGTGAAATCCGGCCCACACCTTTTTTGTGCAGTCTGCAAGCTAAGAATGCTTTTTATGTTTTTAAATAGTTAAAACCATTTTGTGACACATGAAAATGATAACATTCAAATTTCAGTGTCCATAAGTTGTATTGGAATCAGCCATGCTCACTCATTGGCATACTGTCTGAGTGTTTTCAGCCACAACAGTAGAGTTCAGGAGTTGCAACAGTTCAGAGACCGCGTGCCCCACAAAGCCTAATATATTTATTATCAGACCTTTCACAGAAAAAAATTTGCCAACAAGCTTGATTTAATGCATCCTTGAACTTCCCCCTTGTTTCTAAATGACCACAAACACTACACAAACTGCAACTTGGAAACTGCCGACCCAGATTATCTCCATCCCAAATGGCAGAGTCCCAATCTTTCTCTGGCCAGGTCCTCACCTGGGTATAGCGACTTTCTTCTGTTGGGAGTTTAATCTTCTTTGGAGCTTGGCAAAAAGCTTCTTTGGAGCTGATCTTCAAGTCCGGGGTCTGGTCCTCAGCTTTTTCTGCCCTTCTACTTCAGGAGACAAGAGCCCTTTTGTGCGCTGCTAAGGAGGCCCTGAGCTTTCCCACATAGCTTTCAGTTGGCAATTAATTGCTCTCAGCTTTTTATTATCTTTTTCCTTTTAGAGGGTCAATCAAGCTTAGCAATAGCCACCTGATTTCATTATCCTTTTAGTCCCTATTTCTCCATGATCTCAAACACCTGATATAAAACATTAGCTGATGTATTTCTTTCCACTGCTATACCAGTCCAGCCTCCCACCAATGAAAGTTCTAACGACTGGACCACCACATTGTTCCAGTGGCTATCTGTGCTCAATCTACTCTCAGCCATGAGGTCCTTATTGCAAACAGGGTGGTGAAGCACTCAGCCCCAAAGCCCCATCAGTGGCTTCATTCTGGGACCACATATGGTTAGGGTTCCCAGACTTGGTAAATATAAATACAGGACTCTCAGTTAAGTAAGAATTTCGGAAAAACAACATTTTTTAGTGTAAGTATATCCCATGCCTTATCCGGGACATATTTATATACTAAAAAAATTGTTGTTCTTTACCTGAAATTAAAATTTAGCTGGGCATCCTGTATTTCACCTGGTAACTCTACAACAGGTTGGGTTCCTCAGGAAGCAAACTCTGAGATGGAGTTTAGCTAGTAGGATGTCATTAAAGAGTGCCCTTGTTATCAATACCTTTGGAAGGATTGGAGGAGAAGGAAGCAAGAGGGCAGAAGGAAATGTCAGTCTGTGATGCAGGTCCAGTGACAGATTTGGCTGAGCCCTGGGGATCTCTGGCACTAGAATGGCCCTTTAGAGTAGTTCCAAGTTGGGCTGAGCTGTCCAGGCCCTTATACTCACACTGATCCGTCATTGGATGAGGGAGTGCTTTCTGGATGGAGGGGATCTCTGCAGACGAGGCAATTCCTGAAGGGACTGACGGCTGAAGGCTATAATGCCAACAGCACTCCCAGCACCAGGGGCAGAAAGTCTTTCCTGAAGTGGAATCCATGTGGTGAGTGCATCACAGTGTCTACTACGCTTGGAGAGAGGATTAAAACTTTGAGCAGAGAGAACAGATGATATTTAAGGACTTTTCCACTTGAGCATCTATGATTAAGTGACATAATGTGTTCAGATTGCCTAGAAGAGACCATGGCCCACAGCTGGTAAACACCAGGCAGTAGTTGTGTTGATGTCTCTAAAACTTTGGGCGGGAAGGATTGTCCAGTGGTGGGGCAGTTTTTAGAGCAACAGGTGGCGCTGCTTCAGCATGCTTATCTACCAACAGTCAGAAGGTGATGACTGTTGAGAAATTCTTTGGTGGGGAGTGTTCTCTGCCTGACTAGGCTTGATTTGGCATTTTCCTCTAGATAGAGCTTTTCAAAAAGGAATGCCTTTTGAAACAACCTTCACAGTTAATTATTTTCTCTTTCCTGTTACAGAGACCAGATCTTTCCTTTGAAAGTGGCAGAGTGAGGTGGAAAACATGATCATAAAGTCAGTGTCTTATGTTTACCTTGGCACTTAAGCTGTGATGTTGGGTGAATCTTCTCTGGCCTCACTTTTCTAGGCTTTTAAATGAGAGGGTTGGAGTGGGTATTCTGTGAAGGTTCTATCTAGTGTTGACCATTTGTAATCCTGTGATTGTGTATGTGGCCTCTTGGCAAATGAGTTTGAGACACTGACCATGCCAGATTGCTAGACACGAGACTTCAGCAATTTTAAAATTAATTTTTTAGATTTTAGAAAGTAGTTTAACCACCACTTTTCAAGTAGCTCAGTTTTTGAGACTGATGGCAAATTGCTTGGAGGGAAAGGTAGGAAGACAAGTTAATTTCTTTCTTATTTTAAATCTCAGAGTGAACAGCTATAAGATTGGATATGTTAACATCCCATGCAAGGTCTGAATGGTTCAATTAAAGGGGCAAGGCTATGTTCTTCATGGACTTTTATTTCTTTTTTGCTTTGTATTATTTTAAAGACAAAAGTCATCAGTAGCGCATGCCTGGGCCTCCCAGTAACAGAGACACTTCTAGGGAAGGTTATAAAGAAGCTCTGTAGATCAAGGCAGCAGGTCCTTGAATTGTTTTTTCATTATTTGAGGGCAGTTTTACTGTAAATTTGTTGTGTGACTAAGGGACCATTTTTTGGTGACATGAAGTGTTAACCACCTCATCAAACAGACCAATAGATAGAAACTGTTGATGCTGTGCCCCTCACTCATCTCTGCAGCCCTTGAATAAGGCTGTAAGAATAACAGGGTCACTCTGGTTCCCTGTAGGGATGAACTATAAAAGTTGCATTTATAATTTATTAAGAATCATATAATTTTTAGAGCATTTCTCATTTCACATAGAAAAATCAAAGGAGGTACATAGTACTATTATCCACATTTTACATATGAAACAGAGGCTCTGAGGGATTGAGAGACTTGTCCAAATTCACACAAATCCAATTTAAAAAATTTCTTTTTATTTTTAGCCTAAAAAGTCATGTCCTTTGTAGTTGCCTCACCTAAGCCAATAAGTTAGCAAATATTCATTGCATTTATGTCTGTAAGTATCTAGTTTTAGTAACTAGTTGTACCTTTTTCATGTTTTCCTATAGAGAAAACATAGTCCATATCAATGATTTTTTTCAGTATTCAAAAGAGCTAGCAAACTGTGAGAGTTTGAACAGAGGAGCAACAAATATAACTCTACCACAATATTGGTTTTTGGTTGTTATTTTTTCTTTTAAATGTTACATGTAAATTAATAAGAGGTAAAGATAACACTACACTTGTTTCAACATGTGATTGTGTTCAGCAATGATTATTTTTATTGACTAATTAGATTAAAGTTAAATAAATTCCAACCAAAAAAGAGACATTCACCACGATTCATTTGTTGTTCAGAATCTGTGGTTACAGACTGGATATTATGGCTTTGAATGCAGTGTGGTACACACCAGGTCACAGCAGCTTCATGAAGACTGAAAAGCCTGATCACGAACTTCTCCTTCATCTGGTTTGTGATCAGCCAGTCACAGCCAAAGTGTAGTCTGCGCAGCTATAAAATGACACCCGGTTCTTCAAGCATTTTGGTCTCTCGTTTTGACTTTTTTATCTTGCAAACTTGGAAGGTAAGAGACTGTGAAGGTACCTAAGATCAGAATTCCTCATTTTAAAACTTTTCCCCCAGGACTCTTTCTTTTTCGTAACACCTGTGCTTAGTGATACGCTGAGACCATAACCACCACATGGCTTCAATAGGACACATTATCAGTTTGCAAGAAAATGCTTTGAAATAGCGTTCACCCACATTTGAGGTTGGGAGGAGTGGTTTTATTTACTTCCTGGTGGGAAGCTATCTGCTTTAGATTAAAGAAGAATTAGAGAATTATCTGGTTTGATTCTGACATCAGAAGTGCAAACATTTGGAAAGTGCTTTAAAAGTAACTTTGGTTATAAGTGACAATGTAAACTGCTAAAATGATATCTTGACTTAAAAACATTAGGTGGTACATTCTATTTTAGCAGTGAGCTCAAACCTTTCTCTCCTTTATTTTTTTTTAAAATCAAACACTGTTTGCAGGAAAGAATTAGTAAAATCTGAATTCTTTTCACTCTGTAAAGACAAACTTGTCACCCTTATTATGAAATTACTCATTTTTGTTTGTTGGTCAAACTCAGTTGTCCTTATATTACTCTGCCATAGCAAAAAGAGAGAGAGAGAGTGGGGGGGGGGGGGGGGAGAGAGAGAGAGAGAGAGAGAGAGAGAGAGAGAGAGAGAAATCCCAGTATAAACTTCGCTATATGTGAGTATATGTGAGTGAGTGAGTATATGATTCCTTACCAAAAATTAAGGGTGCTAAGGTAGCTCAAATATAAAGACTAGGGTTTCTAAAACTTTTTTTCTAAAAGAAATATGTGCTAACTCAATAAGTAACCTCTTTTGGCTGCTACTGTATATACAATTAGTATTATATATATTACTATTACAACTATCACTATGAAATTATATACATATTCAGGTCCCCTATGTCCAGAAACAGCAATGCATATTTTAAAATAGTTTAAAAGAAGACTAGTATATATTAAACACATTGATCTTGAACATGAAACTCTATTTTACTTTGTTATAAAACAGGAATCTGAAAAGAGTATTTTTTAAAAGCTGTGATGACATGGCACAACCAATCTAATTAAAAAGTGGGGAAAAAAGTTTCAAATACCCATTATTTTGAGAACACAACAACAATAAATTCCCTAATAGCTGCCTAGGTTTATGCAGGGTGTGGGGAGATTTAAATATTTAAATCTGTACATCCCCTAAGTTTTAAAATGCTTCTATTAATAAGGTATAAAACCAGGACTCAGGGCCACTGAGAATCGATTTGGCTCCAGTGAAAAAGTTTCAGAAGCTCGCCCCCCAACACATTCATGTACTCAGTGAGGGCAAGTTGCTGAAAAATCTTTACATAAGTATTTCCCTAGGTCTCTTTCCTGGCTGCAGGACCACAGAAACTTTCCAGATTCCTTTAGACTCTCAGTGGCGCTGCCTGGACCTCAGTGCTGGGCTGAAGGATGTTCGAAGAGCTGAATTGGCAGAAAATATGTGTATCTAAGGGCATTTAGGAGCAGGTTAAATTATATTTTCTCCTTGCATCCAAAGGAACCAGATCACATTCTTTAAAATTATATTAGGGTAAGAACAGTTCATTAACTACTTTTTGGGAGGGCCACTTAATTTTATGCTCTTCTCACCCTTCTTCTTTACCAAAAACTCAAGCCATATAAATGACCACTTGTTCATCTGGAACAAAACAAAATATAACAAACAGGCTCAGGTGAATAAGCCCTTTCAAGAATCAGGCCCACTTTATATTCTAGATCAGGGTTGGCAAACTTTTGCTGTAAAGGGCCAGAAAATAAATGTTTTAGGTTTTTTGGGCTGTTACTCAACTTTCTTGCAGTGATTCAGCTCTGCCAGTGTAGAGGAAAAGTAGTCATATACTATAATACATAACCAAATGCCTGTGACTGTGTGGAATAAAACTTTGTTTACAAAAACAGACGATGGGCTGGCTTTGGCCTGAGGGTCATAGTTTGCTCATCCCTCCTCTAGATAATAACCACGAATGGTGCCTCTCTTCTGAAAACTGCAAAGTGCTTCCCAAGGTTCTCGCCAGAGTAATTCCCACTAGCACAGAATTTACTCTGATAGCAGATCCATATCTGTGGCAGAAGAACCCTGCAAGACCTGAGGATTCAATGTTTATGACCCAACCTGCGTATCAGCATGATCAAAAATTGATAGGAACCTGGAAGGGCCTGTTTCTGTTTCATTAGGAAACACGAGCAGGTAGCTGTTCCTGGCTTTTGCTAATCTTGGAGTGGTAATCAGGAGCTGAGGATAATGGCCACTCTGGTGCTCTGGCGGCAGGTGCAGATGCAGAGAAAGGTAATAAATTAGGGGTAATAAGGTACCTCAGCAGCCTTAAGGGGTCAGTGCAGCTTCCAAGGCACCAAGTCATCACTAAGGAATTTGTTGCTCAAGCAATCAGGCTGATCAACTCAGAGGTAAAACTGCTCAGCATGTAGCTAAAAACCAAAAAAACAAAACCAAATATGTAAAAGTTGTGAGAGCGGCAACAACTAAGAATCACAGAATTCCCTACAACTTGAGGAAATCTTACCAATCATCTTAGCCAGCCCTTTCAAATTACCAGTGGGGAAAACAAAACCTAAAGAGGGAGAGGTAACTTGCCCAGCTAGTTTATAAAGGAATCACCAAATATCAGCCATTTTTGAGTTCCAATCTGTTATTTTCTCCTACAGAATCTGAATTAAAAGGGGGTCACCAACCATATAAATACCCATGTCATGTGATTATGACAGCTAAGTACCTGACCACCCTTAAAGACAAGTTTTCTATTGGGATATGCATGGTACCAGAGAACAGCTGAAATTTACTGAGGGGAATAGAATGCATCCCATCACTGGTTTAATGTAGCTGACAAAAACTGTACAGGATAAAGCATTAAATGGCCATCTTCCCAAGAATATAAATTCTGGTCTCTCATATTGTATGATAACATGGCAAGAACAGATGGGGAAGTTCTTAAATCGAAGTTTGCATTGATCTGTTTCCCTCCTAACAAATCAAAGGCAAATGTTATCCTCATGTCTTTGGTGTCCGTGACATAGAGGATCCCTCGGGCAATGAAGGCATTGCCAGCCTTGGATTTGGGGTACGTGGTGTTGATGTGCTGCACCACAGAGAAGGTCCTCTCGTCCAGCTGTGCGACAAGGATGCTCGAGCCATCCACACTGGAAGCATAGATAATCCAAAGGCCCTTTTCATCTACAGCTAAATTGAAGTACGTCTTGGAATTTGCAAAGAGGTATTTTCGATCAAAATACAAGGCATTTTCAAGCTTCAGAGTTTGGGATGTCTCTTTGCCAAATTCAAATCTGAAATGTATAAAAAAGTAGATATGAGCCACCATTTTTGTGGACAAGGGTGGTTTTTTAGGCTCCTCCATTAAACTGGGGTGGGGCCTGAGATTCTGCATTTCTAGTAAGTTCCCAGGTTGTACTCATTCTACTGTTCCATCTGCAGTGCTGTGAGCAGCAAGGATGTAGAGGATGGTGACTACATCTCACTGTCCACCTACTAGCCATGTGACCCCGATAAAATTCCTTAACCTCCTGAATCCTTATGTGTTTGCTGACCTCCTGAAATGCCCTCTCAAAGTTGCAAGGGGCCTTAAAAGATAATCTAGTCCAGTCGTTTCATTTTACTAATGAGAAAAGGAGACGTGACTGGCCCAGGAACACAGGTAAGTATCAGAGCCAGAGTTTAAACTCAGGCTTTTGACTCCAAGTTTGGGGGTTCTTCCTCTACTCCATGCTGGAGTTTTAAGACAAAAGTTTCACAGGAGGCTCAACGAAGGAAGTCACCAACTGAGAAAGAAGCAAAGCAGCAAAGTCATGGCTGTGACGTCATTTTTCTTGTCTGGTAAGTGACTGGATCAATGAAGTGACGGCATGAAAGCCCATGCCCCTCAGCTCCCAGAGACCGTCTGATTTGGGAGACTCCACATCTAGATCATATCAAAAGTGGATTATGATTCAACTGCAGGAATGAAAATTCAGGAACTTTAGGCTTTATAAAGGAAAAGAAAAAAACACTAGAGGGCGCCATTGAGCAGCAGAAGAACTGTGAAGGGTGTGAAGCTGCGGGTATGCACTGGAACATAGCGACCTTGAAACCAATCAAGAAACCCTGAAGTAAGCTTGAAAAGAAACAAGAGTGAGGGCTTGAGAAGGCCCTGCTTGCCCATCTCAGCTCTCGGGGTTCTCCTTCCTCTGAATGCCCGGGATTCAGGACTGCCATTGGGTTTCTGACTAGTACTGGCACCTACTAGTGCTGGCACCTACAACTGCATTCCTTGATGAGGCTTGCCTCTCCCAGCAAAAAAAGCATCTAATTCCAGTCTGCCTCTCCTTCTCCTCCCAGTCTGTGGCCTGGCACTGGAGCAGGGCCCCAGCATAGGTCTCCTAACCAGTGCCTCACGCAAACTTAGTGTCATTAGAAGACACTCTTTCTTAGGGTGGCCAGTCCTCCTTTGGGCTCATTTACCCCAGAGCTCCCCTCCTACCACCCCATGTAACAGCGGTCCCCAGGAGCCACAGGATTGAATGAAAGCAAATGTCACAGAAAGGAGTGTGTCTGGGGAGAGAGGGCCTCTCAACGGGAGGAGGGTCAGTTATCTTGTTCTGTTAGCGCAAGATGCTGTCCAGATGATGAGGTGGTGCAGAAGCCCAGTAGAGGGGGGGGTAAGAGGCACAGGAGGGGATGCTTGCAGCCACGGCTGACACGTGTGTCTAATGTGGCTGGTTTAACTGCACGATGTACTAGGAGACCTGCCCCGATCCTAGCCTAGCTCTGCAGCTCCAACAAGGTTGCTGAAGCTGGATCTCACAGAGGGAGACAGAGAAGGGACCCAGTCCGCCCTCAAGATCCTTGTCTCTTGTTTGGAATGACGAGGACCATGGCTTTCGTAACACTGGAATTGTCATTTCGGAGTGGAGGGCTGCAGAGGCTCTGGTCCGCCTTTGCATTTTTAATGAGGACATGGAGATCACAGGAGGCGGAGGCCTCCCCTGAGGCCACGAGTGAGTAGGCAGGAGAGTTGGAACTTGAGTTCACTGCTCTCTTGATTTGCCCAAGATGACCCACTTCTGCCTCTAAAGCCCAGAACTCAATTTCTTCCGGAGCCACGCAGACAACTTTCAGCAATTCTTGTGTGAAGCCAGGAATCTTGGGCTGCTGCCCTGGGCACCGACTACCCGTGTGGCCACCTCCCCTCCCCGTGGGAAAGCGGAGGGAGCAGGGGAGGTGGCCTGGCGAGGGCTCCGTCAGGATGACAGAGCGATCTGAAGGCGGGAACCCTGACTTTGCCTTGCAGTCTCTAGTCCTCGGTGATCTCAGCCGTGACATGAAATTCTTCATACCCAACATTTTTCAGAGCAAAACTGATTTCAGGGTATGATACCTTCCTGCTAGGGGGAGCTCTGGGTTCCGCTGCTTCCTTTCCCAAAGGATGAGAAAGCTCCTGCTGTTATCACTCCAGGCCTCCTTCTCTCTGGCCCTGACCTTACTCTTGGTGTCCAGACCAGCAATAAATGCAGATATGGGGCTCACTCATCGTGTCCTGTGGTTCATTTGGTCAGCAAACCCTCACTGATCTCTGGCTGTGTGTCACCCCTGGGGACATAAAGATGATGGAACCACAGTCCCTTCCCCTAAGTCGTTGAAGGATGGGCTGTGGGGCAGAGAGGAGGGTGCCAGGGGCCCCAGGGGACTCACCTCACTATGGTGTTGGAGCCTCCTTTGTGGTAGTAGAGAGAGTTGTTGTGAACGGTGTGCCCACAGCCATGGAAATAGTGCGGGAGGTGGATGAGCGTGTAACTGCCGTTCAGCAGTGAGGGCTGGTCCTCGAATTCCTTCACCATGAGGCCTGCAGGAGGGAAGCCAGCGAAAGGCAATCACAGCTTGGCAGTGAGTCGGGGGAAGAAGTTAAAAGGATGGAAGGTGAGAGTGAGATGTCTTGTAAGGGTCCTTGTCCACTTTCAAGAGTCTCAGGCTCTCAAACTCAAAGGCCAATTCTCTTCTATGGATTCCCAAACCATCGTTTTTTTTTTTTAACGTCTTTACTGGAGTATAATTGCTTTACAGTGGTGTGTTGGTTTCTGCTGTATAACGAAGTGAATCAGCTATATGCATACGTATATCCCCATATCCCCCTCCTCTTGAGTCTCCCTCTCACCCTCCCTATCCCACCCCTCTAGGTGGTCACAAAGCACTGAGCTGATCTCCCTGTGCTATGCGGCTGCTTCCCACTAGCCATCTATTTTACATTTGGTAGTGTATATATGTCAATGCCACTCTCACTTCATCCCAGCTTACCCTTCCCCCTCTCCGTGTCCTCAAGTTCATTCTCTACGTCTGCGTCTTTATTCCTGTCCTGCCCCTAGGTTCTTCAGAACCATTTTTTTTTTTAGATTCCATATATATGCGTTAGCATACGGTATTCGTTTTTCTCTTTCTGACTTACTTCACTCTGTATGACGGACTCTAGCTCCTGCCACCTCACTACAAATAACTCAGTTTTGTTTCTTTTTCCGAACCATCTTTTCAACATAGTAACCACAGAGTTGGCTTTGATCCTCCCAGGAAAATGGCATCACCCTCTCCCCTACAATTTTATAACATTTTCTATCAGGCTGACATAGGCCTGTATCGGGAAGAGCACCGTGCAGTCACCTTCTGCCTCTTGCACTCCACAGTGGCCATGCTGACTCATGACCTTGTTCTTTCCTTTTGAGCCACAGAATCCTTCTCAGCTGGTCATCCAGGCAGTCACTGCCAGCTGATGTGTGAGCCTTGATGAAATGAAGCAGCGTATCTCAGCTATTGCTCTGACTAGTAGGTATGGCCAGGCCTCTTCTGGCATGGGGCCACTGCTACTACCACTGGCAATTCCAGACCACATTCCTTTGGGGCAGTGTGACTAGGGTCATGCTCAGATGCAGCAGACCTGCAAGATGACACTTCACCCCTCTCCCCTGGGCTCTCTGCCCACGGATATCTTAGAAAAGTGGCCAAAAGTACTCTCCTTAAAGAAAGATAGACCATGCAGAAGAATTTGTCTCCGACATTTCTTCCACATTACGGTTTTTGGGCTTTATAAACCCATAAGTCATAATGCTATTTGTTTCCTTCTGGACACTTTGCTGAAAATTGGAATAAGCTACACTGAAGGTGCCCTGGTCATGTCCCTGTGACCTGAACTGCAAGTCTTGTCACCAGTGTGCTCAACTGAGAAAAGTATTCTGCCTACTCATTTGGGCTTTCTAAAATAAAGAGCAAGTCTGTTACACCAATGAGCAGGGACTTCAGACACAGAAATAGGATAAGCCTGAAAGGGGGCAACTGATGAAAGGTACAATTACAACACAGATATGGATCATCCGCCAAGTGAAAGCACCTGAAAAATGTTCAGTAACCCAGATCCGTTCATCACTCTTGTTAGCAGACTCTCTTATCCAAGTCCCAAACGTCTCTTTAACTTTCAAAACTTGTGTTGGGTTTCCAACGGACGTGATCATGGATTCTACCAAAAGAAGAGAAAGGAAAGTTACCCACCTACCAATTATGACTTTTAGCCATCTGATTTCTGAATTTTAAAACAGGATGCTTTGTTTCTGTACCTGCTTGCAGGGAATGGTGTTCACTGACTTTCTCATCAGCTTTTCCAACCAAGGTATCATCATTTGGTACAGCACACGTCTCACCTAAAACAACAACAACGATAATCAGAGCAAACTAGTTGGCACAGTGAGATATACATAGCTTTATAACTGGTTACATAACCTCAATCCAGACTCTAGTTCCATAAGCATCCTTTACAATAGGCTCACCGAGGTTTCTGCTTGCTTGCTTTTAAGCCCCAAGTCATACACTTCCAAATTTTTTCCCCTCCCTGGGGAGTTTCCAACAAGCGTTCCATGACAATAGTTGCTAAGATACTACAATCAGGAAAATGTCACCTGAGTCAGCCATCCAAGCCCTGAGCAACCTGGGAGAAAGACAGGCTTACTGACATGTTCCTGGTCCCTCTGGGCCAGTGGGAATCTATCACAGTCTGCATTTTTCTGGAGGGATTTTCACTTTCAGGGAAGCTGATGGGGATGAGGGAGCAGTCTCATGATGGGATGACCCACTTTACCCTGTCTTCCTGAACTGCCAGGGAGTAGAATCACAGAGGAAGAAGGAGCCTAGAGGCAGCCCAGCACAGAGAGATTTGAGCCCCTTCCCACCCCATTTCCCACCTGTTTCTGCTTGAAGGCCTGTAGGACCCAGGTCCTTGAGGGGCACCTGATCCATAGTTGGTTTGAGGCTACAACTGAGCTCAAATTCATCCTCCTTGGCTTGTCATTGTTCCCCTTAGCAAACGGGCTTAATTCAGACCTTTGGTGGAGAGGTGGCTCGGGGTGGCAGAAGCAGGACAGGAGGCAGGGAGGAATATGGTCATTGTGAAGATGAGAGGGAGTGGACTGCCTGGGGGTAAGGACCCCCTACCTGGGGGCAGGTTGGGGCAAATCAGGCTTTCTGAGAAAGGCCAGGCCCACTTCCCTAGACAAATTCTGAGGATTTCCAATCACCCTGTGGTTGCTTGATAGAAAGGAGCACCTCAACTGTCACTAGGGAAACTCCCAGAATAAACTAGAGAGGTTTCTTTATCGGCAAAATAAGGAGGCAGGACCCTCCGTGGTCTCTAATCTTCCTTTAGCTGGATGAGCCTGTGTCTCTCTGAAGCCCTTTGTCACCCAAAGAGAGCAGTCTCGGGATCTGTTAGACTCCCCCCACCACCACGCAATGCTGCCGTCCTGGGTTTCGTCTGGAGTTTCCTCTTAGGGGCTTGGGCTTTGCACAAGAGGGGGACAGAGAGACCCTCCCATTCTTAGTCTGAAGAAAAGGCCCTCATTAAGTCATGTAGCGCCCACCAGCTTCTAAGGCTGTGGGAGTGGGATGGGGGTTAAAGCAAGGGAGTTGGAGCAGGAGAGAGGGTCAAGTTCAGATGCTGGGTGCAAGGAGGACTCATTTCCAGGAGGAAGAGTGGAAGATAACGGCCTTTTAAAGCAGTTTTCACAATGCTGGAGCCCATCCCCTGCAGACCAGCCTCTTGGTGGACAGGCGAGGTGGAGGAGAGCACCTCTCCAGCACCCCTCTCGCTGCTGACAGAGCCTCTGGCAAATCAGAATTCCCAAAGAGCAAGGTCAGACCTCGCCTCCGCTCAGGGGAAGGTTCCCACTGAGCTCACAGTCCAAGGGAGGCTGAACAAAGGGTGATGCTAATGGAGGGGGTGGCACTGACCCGGGGCGGAAGCAGCTCTGCGGTGATTTAACAGGCAGATAACTGCTGGGCAGGATGTAATTAGGCTCCATTTACTGGGGGTGGTAACATCTTTGAAAGCTCAGATTCACCCACTCTGACTGTGTGTGCTCCCCAAATGTCTTCCAGAAAGAACAGTGCACCAGACAGAATGAAAGACTGTTTAAGAAAGTGGCAATGAAATCCACAGCAAGTGACAAAGAAACTCCAGTCAGGACCCTCCTCTCTGCCAGGAAGCAAGGCATCAAGTTGTGCTTTCTCACGGCCTAAGTTAGGTGAATTAGTCCCCGGTCACCACTGTGGGGAGAAGTTCTAGCTCTACCCTAGAAGGATTTCCTGTTAATAGGGCCCTTGATTTCTCCTTAGCTTTCAACCCCATGGCCACCCCTGTAACAACTGGCCGAAGAACAAACCGTCCAGGCCTGCCAGAGACCAGGTGTCCCTTGGCCTTGACTGCCTTATTCGCAAAGTGTGGACTTCCGTCTCTGAAAGGAAGATGCTCTAAGCAGGGGCTTTACAAGCAGGCACATCTGGGTTTGAATCCTAGCTCTGTCACTTACTAACTGAGTGACCGTGGACAGGCTATGTAGTTCCCTGGGGTTTCAGCTTTGTATCTGTAAACTGGTAAGAATACGACTCCTATATCATAGGACTGTTGTAGAATTAAATGAACTGAGCGCTTAGCCCTGTGCCTGGAACATCAACATTAGTGGTGGTGATGGTAGTACTGGGGTGTTGTGGGAAGTTAGCCAATCTGAATCTCCCCATCATCTCCATCTCCCCAGCATCAGTCAAGCCCTTCATGCTCCAGGGATGGCGGATCTGGCAGGGAGGAGCAAAGAGTCTGGTGATAAGTGAAGGGGGAGGGATGAGGCCAGGGGGTGGGAGGCCCAATTCTAAACCTGCCACCAGTCCTCACCCTAGGCAGACTGCTCAGGCCTCCCAGGAACATGTTGCAAGGTGGGGACACTCGCTTTGGGCAAAATTTCCCTCTGTTTAAAACAAATCTGGTCACAAAGCCTGGGTGAAGCCTGAGACTTTGGGATCATTAACTGAAGAGGTGGTTCCCTGGGGCAGGGGTGGGTGACCTGGGCACTGGCCGTTGAACATGTTTGGCTGACGAGGGCCTTTGGATCTTCTGCTTCCGGGGGGCCCTGGGGGACCCGGAGGGCCCGGGGGCCCAGGTGGGCCGGGTGGGCCTTGGTCACCTTTGGCACCTGGAGAAAGAGAGAGAGAAGCAGGGATGGGGGTTGATTAAAGAGCCATTGGCAGAGATGGGCTTCAAACAAGGGAGAAGGGGACCCAGCATCTCCAGGAAGGCTTGCTGAGTCCCCCTTCCCAGACACAGATGTCCTCCAGCACTTGTTCACACAGAGTCGAGGGAGCACCTATAGCAGGTGCTGAGTTCCAACTATGTGCCAGGAATTGTGCTAGGAATTTTATAAATCTCCTCCCCTTTGTCCTTCTCAGCCACTCTGTGAGATAGTATCAGCGGTTCCTCAGTGACCGGAGTCTCAGGGAAGTTCAGTGCTTTGCCCCAGGTCACAACTGGAATAGAGCTGGGACTCACCCTTAGGGGTGTCTTGCTCCTAAGCTCATCCTTTTTTCATTGGCTGATGTTGGGAAAGCTCAACCCTGACTACTTATTAGAATCACCCAAGGGGCTCAAACACAATTCTAATGCCTGGGCCCCCTCCCAGATCAATTAGATCAAAATGGTGGGGAAGCTGGTCATCTGTATTTCTAAAAACTTCCTAAGATGTTTTCTTCCTAAGATGTCAGGTATGAGAAACATGCCTCTATGCGGTAGAAGAAATCAGGGGCTCCTGTCCTGCTTTGTGACCTTGGGCAGGCAGCTTAACCCTCCGAGACTGGTTCTTCATTTCCAGATTGTCTCATACTCCCTGTCCTGACTTGTGAGAATCCACTGAAGTCATCGGGGTGAGTGCTCGGACAGTTGGATTCTCTACACATCAGCAGGTGGAATCCCTACACACTTCCAGCTTCAGGTGGCCAGTGTGGGTACAGCCCTTTGCAGGGGCCATTGGTTATGGAACTTTCATAAAGATGCCGCTAGGCTGGGATATTCAGTCCTTTTGTTCTACCCTCCTTTCCTGGGCTGACTGGTGATCTAAGATCTCTTTAGCTGCCTCTTCCCAGCGCCACCAAGTAAGCACTTTCAGTTGCTTTGGAGTGGGCAAGCAGGGGTCACAGAGGCTAACAGTGGGTCTAAGCCCACTGTGGAAGGGGCAGAGATCTGCAGGCAGGGCAAACACAATCCAACCCTCCTATTCCTTCTCTGCTCTCTGGCCAAGAGGACACACTCAGCTCTGGCCTGTTCTCTAGAACTGGGGTACACTCAGAGATGTTGCTTTCCTGAATGGTTTGTGGTCACCCTCACTTGTCTGGTAGTATAGGGGAGTGTGGTATTCTGGATGTGTAGATTTCCCATATAACTGAGTATAACATGACCTTATATTTTCAAAGTATATTCACATATATATGATCCTGTCAAAACACTTATTACATTTTACGTATTTTGCATGGCAACTTCCCTGTTTGTTAAACAAAGCATGCTAAACCTAATTTGATCTTTCCTTGGTGCTTTGGTCTTAGTACAGTACCTGGCAAATAGCAGATGCTCAATAAATTTTGAATGGCTGGATGGGCAACTGATTCAGGGTCATTGTTCTGAACATCTATCATCCTAGCTTCTTGAGGACAGATATTATGTCTTAACTCATTTTCATATTCCTATTTCCAGCTACTAGCAAAATCCCTAATTCATAAATGGTGCTCTCTGATATTAAAAAATGCTTATTGACCACATTAATAGGATAGTTATGTTTCTATGGTATAAACGGTCTCCAAAGTAGTGTGCTTTTAAAATTCTTCTGCCTCTTTCTGTGCCATGACCATCAGCTGTCGCCTACTCTTTCCACCATGTAATTGTCTTTCTGAGGCTTGCTGTGCCTCCACCTCCTCCCCCATAGACATCAATTACCTGTTTTTAACCTGGGCTGGAAACCAGAAAAAGAAGATCAGCAACGATGTCTCCCCCAATTCTATGTCAAAAGTCTTAGGATAAGGGCCTGAGGATGGCTCTAGCTCAACTCTGAAGCTGTGCTTTCTGTCTGTTGTCCTCTGAGGTATTTGAAATTGCTCGCTTACTTGTCTTGTTCTGGATTGTGCTGGATTTAATAGCTATTTGGAAAAAGGAAGCTTCCTTCATCCGAAATCCATCCAGCCATGACACTTAGACCTGCATTATCTCAACTGCTCATGCTTAGATATCAGATTTGGTCTCACCAACAAACATTGGGCTTACATGCATGGTTCCCTCCTTGTTGAAAGCACAGAACTCTAAAACATGCTGAGAAACAGATGGGCACATAGGCAGCTAAGGAGAGAAGACCCGGAGCAGCCTTGGTACTAGAAGCCAGGCCAAGTTCTGGGCCCATTCACCCTGGGAGACAGCCTGAGCGCCAGCCCCTTACCTGAAGGAAGTACATCATTACACACGTCCCCTTTGTCTCCCTTGTCACCCTTCTGCCCTGCTGGGCCCTCGTTTCCAGTCAAGCCCAGCTCACCAGGGTCTCCCTTTTCCCCTGGAGTTCCTGTGGCTCCAGGTGGCCCTGAGAAAAAAATGATGTATTAGCCTGTTGTGCAGGGAATTCTGGCACACTAACTACTTTGTAATATCGTACTTTGTATTTTTAAGGTGAAGTAGCTTCAGAAACCAAATACATAACACTTCATAACCATTTTAGGACAGCAGCATGTTCTCAATTCATGAACAAATAGTATCTCCAGGTGGTTCTGTTGAATTCTTTTTAGAGACATTTGGCTGGGCCAACAGGTTGGAGAGGAGTGAACCCCTAGAAGGACAGTCACAGCAAGAGCAGAAAGAAGGTAAAGCCTAATTGGAGGTCTGCCCTCCCCCACCCCACCCCCTCCTCACCCCAGCAGGAAGGACTGAGAACTCAGAGGGGTTTGTTTGGCACCATAAGGGTGGATGTTGTCCTCTGCATTATCTGGTATATTCCTCACAACATTGGAGTGGTAGGCCGGTCAGTTATCCTTACTCTCATTTTACAGAAGTCGGAACTAAGGCCTCAGGTGTTACAATTGATGCTAAGTGAGAAGCAAAAATCTTGATTCCAACTCCAATGCCCTTTTCTGTGACATTCCAATGCAAAATGCTTTTAATCAAAGTAGCAAAACAGGTAAAGCTGCTTTAGGACAAGCATTACAAGGGATGGTGATAGTGTGAACAAAATATAATGGAGGAAATCTCTGTCTCTGCTCACAGGGAGGCATCACTATAGGAACTACAGTCCTACCCCCCACAGCTAGGAACAGTCAAGATCTATGCAGCGACTCATCTCAGCGTGGTACGACAGCAGCATAGTATTCTGACGCCTGGGAGAAAGGAAGCAAACAACATGCATAATATGATTTCCTCGGCTCATAGTAGTTTCCACACAGCAGCTCAGGGACGGGGAACCTAAACAAAGCCCACCAATTTCACTGAGGTGAGGAGACAAAATGTAGAGTTTGGGGAGATAAAGGTGGCTAGGATTCATGAGACAGAATATGAGAGAGGGGGTAATCATGTAGAAAGGGCTCTGGAGAACTTCAGAGGTGTTTCCTCAAGTCTTCGTCAGAGTAATAGTCTGTGCAGGGTGAAAATCTACAAGGTAGGGAAAAGAATGAAAAGAAAGCCACTCACTACACAACTCTCAGAGCTTGCACAGGGAAAGGTTCTCATTCCCACCAGTCAAAGCAGAGAGATCTCAGAGAATGGTGCGCTGTTAGGTCGAGTCCTTGGAAAGTCTTCTCTTAGTAGTGAGGCTAAATTAGCCCAAGAGTCAAGGCTGCTGTGGATCTATCATAACAAAGCTTAAAAACAAGCTTCAAAAGGATTAAACTGAGCAGAAAGTAGTTTAACTACCCAGCCAGATGTCTCTAAGCTGTAGTTTAAACTACTGAAAGTAGTTTAATCATTTAGTCAATGTAATGTAGCATATTAATAATTTAAGCAAGAAAAAAACTATATGACCATCTTGGTGGAGGCAGAAAAGACATTTGATAAAATACAACACCCATTCTTAATAAAAATTCTCATCAAATGAGGAATAGAAGGGGACTTCCCTGGTGGTGCAGTGGTTAAGAATCCACCTGCCAATGCAGGGGACACAGGTTCGAGCCCTGGTCCAGGAAGATCCCACATGCCACGGAGCAACTAAGCCTGTGCGCCACAACTACTGAGCCTGCTCTCTAGAGCCTGCAAGCCACAACTACCGAGCCCACGTGCCACAACAACTGAGCCCGCGTGCTGCAACTACTGAATCCCGTGTGCCTAGAGCCTGTGCTCCGCAACAAGAGAAGCCGCTGCAATGAGAAGCCCGCACACCACAACGAACAGTAGCCCCCACTCGCCACAACTAGAGAAAGCCCGCGCGTAGCAATGAAGACCCAAAGCAGCCAAGCAGCCAAAAACAAATGAATAAATAAATAAAAATTTATGGAAAAAAAAAAGAGGAATAGAAGGAAACTTCCTCAATCTGAAAAAGGGCATCTATGAAAAAACCTACAGCTAACATCATCCCTAATGATGAAAGACTAAATGATTTCCCCCTAAGATCAGGAAAAAGACAATGGTATCTATTCTCATCACTTTTATTTCACACTGTACTGGAGGTTCTAGCCAGTGCAATAAAGCAAAGAAAAAGAAATAAAGGCAAACAGATTAGAAAGGATGAATTAAAATTGTCTTTATATGCAGACGACATGATTATTTATGTAGAAAATCTACAAAAAAGTTGCTAGAACTCATGAGCACCTAGGCACACTGAGAGGGAAAGTGATTACTTACTATTGTGCAAAGGTATTGCCAGATATGGATCAGTTAATACGATACCCTATTGCAGGGATCATTTGCTCATTTTGACAAGAGCCTCCTGGAGGTACTGCTCAATAGAGATATTTTTCAAAGGGGCAGAGATTTCAGGCAATAGGGAAGAGCCAGAGGCAAGTTTTAGTGCAAAACTTCAGTTTCTCTCAACCTCTTTAACCAAGAGGGCTTAGCATTCATTGTTTTTTCTAATTACCTTGCCAGTCCCAAGCCCCTTCTTATAGGTTCTGGCTGAGTGACAGCCCATTCACCCCTCTCCTGTGCCCCATCAACTCGGCCAATCCCCATTCTCCAATTGTCATTCTGTGCCATTGCAATTGTCTTCCCCCCAGATTTAAGACCAATTCTGAACCCTACCCCCAACTTCCTACCAGCCCCATAGGATTCCTATACAGCTGTCCGAAGAGAATCATAGAATTCCAGATCGGAAGGCACCTTAGGGGTCACTTAGATTAACCTCCCATCCAACCCTGAAAGCCCCTCTCCACCACCCGACTGGCTCCTTTCAAGCCCTTGCAGCAATGGGGAGGTTATTATATCACATCACACCACAGATCGCGCTGGAATACTCTGCACTGCCATCGGAGGCCATTATTCCCTAAAACATACATCTGGAGCTCTTAGCAGCTTTCCTTTATGCCGAGGGAATGATAAGGTCTTCCAGACTCAAGGCACCCTACACAGACCATCCCAAGGAAGTCAGCAGTATATGAAAGAAACTTAAAGTGTTGATCACTGTTAAAAAATGTGGTGAACAAAGAAACATTCACTAGATTTCAGCCAACTACTAAAAAAAACAACTCAGTGGAAACCATGCAGTTCAGCTGTAGATGGGGGTCAGAAGCCCCTGGTTCCCTGCCTCTGCCAGGGGTGATCTTGGGTGTCATCTTGCACTGATGGAGCTGCTGGGGACACAGTGGAAGAGGATGTGAAGAAGAGCAGGGACCTCTCTTAATCAGGGACCTCTGCATGAGCACATGTTCTTTTGTCAGTATTTTAAATAGGCAATTTAGCACATTATCTGAAGGACACAAAAGAGAACGTTGCCATAGTGTCCAGCCAGCACAATGCACCGAGTATAACTGATACCTTCTAAAGGTGTCACATGACCTACATTCAGCAATGCTCAGGGAAATGGTATCTTCTAGTTACTTAAGGGGTTTCTTTTTCAGGCATTTATTCTAGTCACAAAGAGCCTCTCTGCATCATCGTTTGATTTCCCCTTCTTTTCTTTTATTCCTTCCTCTTATGCATTTCCCCCCCTTTCTCAAAAAGGCAAGGCATGAAATAGAAAAACATTCATACTATAATGCAGCCTGCACAGGGGCAGGTGTTTAAAGCTCAGGATATTAAGGACCTTTACTTATGGATGTATTCTGACTCTCAGCTATGTCTGCATGATAATTTTTAAGCTTTCATTAAGAAAGGGTAGGGGATGTTTTGACTACGTACCGTCTTTGCTGCCTCCACAAAGTTTTCCCTTGTCTTGGCCATGCACTGGCCATGGTGTGCCAGAAGTATACCGCCACCTCATCAGAGGACTTGAATGTGGCACTTTCTACCTTCCCCTGACTCAGCTGTGCACAGGGACACTGTTAAACATTGTGTGGCCTGGACCTTGGCATTGTTGTCCCGTGATTCCTGGCAGGCTTTGAGTCAGCACGTTCTGCCAGGAAAGAAAGGCCAGATTCCTCTTGCTTCGCTCGGGCGCTGGATGTGGCTTTCTGCTATTTTCCTTCCCCGGTGGCGCCCACTCAAAACAAGCTGTTTTCCCAGCTTTAGAGTTTGGGGTTGTGTGACCAGCTGGGGTCAACGCCATCATCTTCACTGCAAGGAGTGAGGGAGGACATCTTATTTTTGGCAGGACCATCTGTGACCAACTGAGGCAGAGGAAAGGGAGCCAAGGGTGTTGGGAAAAACCCAGACCCAAGACTGGGATGAATAAGGAGGAGGGCGTTTATTTCTGTTTTGGTGGAGATTCGATTCTTAGAGAAGACACTGAGGCATTAACTCTTGAGTGAGAAAGTGAGAGGCAGATGGAGGGAAAGAAAATGCTTGGTTTTGAGGCATAGCACGTCAAACTTCAAAAAAGACGCTAGTTGCAAAATTGACAACATGTAAGTCCAATTCTTCTCTCTAAATCTAAGTCGGTGTTTTCAAATAAATACAGGCATTTCCACTCAGATTTCCTTCCTCACCCTTGGAAACAACAACAGTAATATCTAATACTAACATAGCACTTGCTATGTGTCAGGCCCTATTCTAAGCACTTTATATATATATTAATTAATTTAATCTTCCTTACAACACTATGAGGCTGATACTATGACTGTTCTCATTTTACAGATAAGGAAACAGAGTGATTAAGTAACTTGCCCAAGTGCACACAGCTAGTAAGCGGAAGATCCGGGACCCAAACCAAGACTTCAAGCTCTGGCTCTGGCCTACTGCACCCTTGTTCTTAGCATCCCTAAGGTCAGACATTGAGGGTTATCTTCATATTTCAATATCCTGGAAACAACTGTTGGTCTAAAGCTCTAAACTCTGGTTTCGTCAGGTTAGTGTTCTTCTCAAGAGCCCGCAGTGGCTCCCGGCGGCCTCAAGCAGACATGGAGCTAAAGGCCCTGACCCCACCCCAGGCTCACCTGGGTCCCCTCTTATACGCAGGGGCAGACTCCTTAGAAGTTCCTCCGAGCGTGGCCTTTCTGTTCTCCCCCC